AGTGACCAAAATGGCATTTGCCTCTTTGTGGTGGTGAAGTCACACCTCTGTGATCTCAGATCCTCAGTTTTTTTTTTTTTGTCAAGGAACCAGGGTCCCAATATCTAAATGTTCCAACTCCTATCTTCGCTGCATGGAGAAGGACAGAAAGATCTGTGGGTCAGAGTGGGAGGTTGGACTCTTTTGCTTGGTTAACCATGCGGGTCTTCTTGTGCCTTTTTCTTTCTTCCTACAGCACAGCTTTTATAAGTGACAAAGTCTTGTTTGAAAATTCCGAGTCTGTAGTCTTTTTTGTCCACACAGATACTGAGATTCCAAATCAACACACTTGAGAGCCTGAACTGTGCTAACCTCTCCAATACGTGAGTGCATCTTTTGGAGCTGTCATCCAGGAATTCAGTTTTACAAGCCTTAACTGAGGTTCTTTCCCAGAATTTGAAGAGACAGTCAGAAATAAAATATGGTCATAATATGAATAGGAATAAAACGGATGAGATTCTTACAAAGCACTTCCAAGCCTCTACTATTTCTCAGATATTGAGAAATAATGCAGTCAAATGTAAAATGATATAAAGTGAAACTCCAACAATCTAATGACACATGTGCATAGGAGTTTTGATGTAACGCTTAGAATCTGAACAAAAGGAAAACTGAAATGTGAGGACTGTTGACAAGCTATACCTCAAACCAACCGAGGAAAGACAACTGGGTCAAGCTAGATTGGGAGTGTGACTGTTTAAGATACAATTATACCAAGAGGAAAGAGAGACAAGCTATAATGCTAAAGATTTATGGAAATGTTCCTTAGGAATCTGGCTACTTCGTTTACTTTGACTCTTTGCTCACAGAAGCAATTTCTGATCAATAGCTTGCGGTGAGTTCTTAGGCCAGGCATATTTCCCACTACAATTTATACAGTGAATTCTAGTTTGGTGACTATCTCTTGTGAGTTTTGTTATCATGAATATATTCCTGAGATGCAAGCATCCTAATAAAGTCCTCACTTGAAGCACTCCATTGCCACATCCAGTTTATTACAGCAGAGGCTCATGAAACACCACAGAGGAAGACAGGCAAGGGGAGAATGTCAGGTTTGCAGGACCCTGCTTAAGGTTTTCTAGCCTTAAGCTCTATGGATTATTCAGGCCTTTGTTACAGCTCAGATCTTATAAACTTTCTGAGACAGATGGAAGAGTAGGTTCTTATAGGAGACTATGAGGGTATAGGGAACCAATTTAGAAAAAAAACTTGCATGAAAGAAGATGGGGAATGTACCTACAGTAAACATATGAAAATAACAAAAACCAAAGAATACCCTTATTATTGACAATCAGCCAATGTGTACATTAGAATGAAGGACCTCCTAGATGGTGGAAGATAAAGCCCTGTTGAAGGACACTACATGCCCCCTATTCTCTTGTTATGAAATAAAATCCTCTTCAGCCTCTTTTCTATTCCTCCATGTAAAATATGAACTCAGGCCTGCTCTTTCTTGTAATATTGACTAATAAAATTTCAGAACCTAGCCTTAGAAATCAAAGTCTATAATAAGATGATTGTCAAAACTAAGGAGATAGTCCCTTTCCCCTGAAGCTACAGGTACAAATCTCTTTTATAAAAATATTCAAAAGAATGTGATCTAATGTGTCGTTAGATTCTCTCTTGTCCAATATGGGGTTCTGTGCCAGTATTCAAAACGACTAACAAGTTGCTTGTTCTCAGTTAATAAAAATGCAGACTGTCATTTGATTTGTAAGGGGTCTCCTAGGACATCCAAACATTAGATATTGCCGCACATCCCTTAGATATATATCTATGCAGCATGCAATTCTATCCATTGGCTTATTTGATCACATGCTGTGAGGGTTGCAATGTTGTATTTGACATCTCTCTCTCTCTTTTTTTTTTTTTTTTAATTTTATTTATTTATTTATTTTTCCCCCAAAGCCCCAGTAGATAGTTGTGTGTCATAGCTGCACAACCTTCTAGTTGCTGTATGTGGGACCCAGCCCCAGCATGGCGAGAGAAGCGGTGCGCGCCAGGGATCCGAACCCTGGCCGCCAGCAGCGGAGCTCGTGCCCTTAACCGCTAAGCCACTGGGCCGGCCCTGACATCTCTCTTTTTAACTGGTGAAAAAAAGACTATGTACTATTTCCAAAAGGGACCAATGGTACTTTCATTTTCTCCTTCATGCTCTGAGGAACAAAGAAAATCCGGACTACTAGATTAATTTAACAAATAATTTGAGAGTCTGCTCCATTTAAATAACCATACAATGTTAAATTGGCATCTAGAATTGTGCATATTTCAGAATCTTACTTGATAAGCTCTTCACAGTTCATACCTAGTTGTTTTATCCTGAAGTTCTGTCATCATTTTGAGAAGCCTGCCCATAGTATAGAAGGAAGCCCTTGGTGTAACATTCAGTCAGACTACTTGCTCAGCCCTTTGGGCTGCTCCCTTCTGCCCACCTCTGTAGACTTTAGCCCCACCAACCATTTCTGATTCCTTGAATGTGATCCCGATTTTCTTACTTCATCTGCCTAGAATGCTGTTTTGTACTCTCTCTACCCCCACTGGTAATATTATTTATTCTGTGCTCCGTGGGCTTTCCATACACATCTCTACCAAAGCATTTATTATCTTTTGTGTTTTATTTATTTACTTATTTATGTATGGACAATGCACACATACGATTCAAAATTAAAGAGCATAAAAGGGTTACAATTGAAAAGATCCTCCATCCATCCCTCCCCCTAAGCCATCTAGCTTTCTTTCCTCAGTGCTAACCAATGTTAGCAGTTTATCTAGTATCCTTCTAGAGATATTTTACATTTATACAAACATACTAATACAAAATTCGACTGCATACTATCCTGTACCTTGCTTTTTGCACTTGACAGTAAATCTTGGACATCATCATATTATCAATACCTGGAGAGGTCGTATAGTACACAGTGGTTACAAATATGGATTGGGAGGCTAGACTGTTTTGAATTATGTTTTTACTACTTATTAGCTGTGCAACCTCAGGCAATTTTCTCAACCTCTCTGAACCTCCATTGTATAATCTGTAAAGCAGGTATAATGCTGGTAATTTAACTCAAAATGTTGTTATGAAAATTAAATGATTTAATGCATGTAAGGAACTTTTTAGGATACTTTCTGGAACATAGCAAGCAATAAATACTAGCTGCTATTATTATGAAAAACAGCTGTCTCATTTGCTTTTAGCATCAAATAGAATGATGTATTGTGATTTACTGCTTTATTTTTGATCATTCAGATTGCTTCTAGTCTTTTGTGCTACAAACTGGGCTGCTGAAAAACCCTGCACATATGTCATTTTGCACATTTTCAAGAATGGTAAATTCCTAGAAGTGAGGTTGCTGGGTGTAAAAATATATACATTATTAATTTTGATAGATATTTCCAAATTTTCCTCCATGAAATTTCTACCAATTTTCAGGGCCACCAGTAGTGACTGAGAAAGTCAGGAAGTCTTATTCACGGTTTTCCATTCCTATCCCAGCATACAATGACTGACCTATAGTGAATAGTAGATGCAGAAAAAAAAATGTTAGTTAATTGGATGGAAAAACGATTTAGCAAATACGGTTGGGTTTAGGCGGCAGCAAGAAAAACATTTTAAAATCCACTTTAGTATTTTGTTTGCTGGTAAAGTCATTGAATATTATTACAAGGCAAGGTAGAAATAGTTAAGTTTTACTGAACATTTTGAGCTGGTCTGTTATAACAGATATTTCTTTTAGAATCTTGAAAGGGAGATAGAAAAGCACTACTGAAGTTTTGTTAATACTGTAATGCACAAAGGTGGCAGGAGATCATTAATAGAAATTTGGCCAGAACTCTATTGATTTACTGGCTTTCTTGTAGACAAGTGCTTTGTTATTGTAATGGTGTGCCTTCACATTTATTATCTCATGTGATTCTGATATATATGCAAAGACACAAGAGCAAAAAGGACAAAAGAACATGGAGTGGCTAAATGCTGCTAAGCTTTAAATTTATCATTGCAAATCTTCAAGTTATTCCCCTTTTACAGACAAAAGATATGGAGTCGTATACCTTATGTAACTTGCTGCAAGACAGAGCCAAGTGGCCTAGTTGGGCTAAGGATCTAGCACAGCACTCGGAATGTGGTCAATGCCCAATAAATTTGAATAAATGAAAAGTTACCATGTGAGAGTGACCGATAAAGCAAAGGCCTATTTCAGTGCTTCATTTGCACTTTGTTTCCACAGAGGTGGATTAGGACCTAAGACAGGCAGTAGATTCTACTGCTAATAATACAGACTCAATTTTGGCTGCTTAAATTCCATTCACCCTATTTTTTGTGCCGTGACCTTGGGTACATTGCTTCTGTTTTGCCTTACTTGAGAAAGGAAGGTGATGACAGCACCTACTTCACAGAGCTATCCTAACAGGTTAACAGACATGGAGCACTGTAACATGCCATGTCGTGCACCGTGTGTTTGCTAACAGCATGTTCACTCTACAGATCAATAATCAAGAGTGGGTAAATTTATCTATGGTCACATAGCAAATAATGTAGCTGGGGTCAGAAGCCAGTCCTTCCATTCCTAATCCAGCTTGGGCTGCGAGCTTCATTATATCCTGTGTTTACATCTGCAGTTTGGCGGGTAGCAAGTGGAAACCCATATTCACTGACTAATCGCTTTTTCTTGCCTAAAATATTTACATCTCTGAGTCTACAGCATCCTTTCTCCCCTCCCAGGGCACCGCACAGCCTGCCTCACCTTTATCCAAGAGGCCTCAGCGACTCGGGAGCAGCCTCGGCTGGTGCCCCCTGCTCCACCTTTGTTAGGAACACGGAAGGGGGTGGATCGAGAATTGCGAGGCTTTCCCGCCCGCGTTCTTCTAGTTTTCAATTTGGTCCGAAGGATGCAAATAAAAGGCTGGCCTCTTTTTTTTTTTTCTCACGAGAGCTCCGTTTTTCGACTTTTGTTCTTAGAGTTCTGGTCTATACTCTCAACATCATGTCCGGCCGTGGCAAGGGTGGGAAGGGACTAGGTAAGGGTGGTGCCAAGCGCCACCGCAAGGTCCTGCGCGACAACATCCAGGGCATCACCAAGCCCGCCATCCGGCGGCTGGCCCGGCGTGGCGGCGTCAAGCGCATCTCTGGCCTCATCTATGAGGAGACCCGTGGTGTGCTCAAGGTCTTCCTGGAGAACGTGATCCGGGACGCCGTCACCTACACCGAGCACGCCAAGCGCAAGACGGTCACCGCCATGGACGTGGTCTACGCGCTCAAGCGCCAAGGCCGCACCCTCTACGGCTTCGGCGGCTGATTCCATTGTATCTTGTAAAAGGCTCTTTTCAGAGCCATCTACTCTTTCTTGTAAAGAGCTGAAAGGCTGTTCAGACTGCTGATTTGTTCCTTCCTTCCTGCACTTGTGTAGGTCATTGTGATCTGAGGCAAAGTGCTAAGAGAAAAGACATGGGTGTGCATAGTGAGTTTGAACTTCAACAGAGGAGAGCTTCAACAAATAATTCCTCTAAATTGAAGAAACTTTTTGATATCAGAAATGCTTGCAAATGTGCAGCGGTAAATGTCCATTTTTCAGATACCACGCGCAGTCGCCCCAAAAGCACAATCCCTTTTGAACTGATAGGCAAAGTGCACCAGCTCTTTCTTGGGTAGTTAAGTGGCTCTGAAAAGAGCCTTTGGGTTGTGGGTAGCTGCGGGCCTGCTCATTTGGAGCTGGTGTACTTGGTGACGGCCTTGGTGCCCTCGGACACGGCGTGCTTGGCCAGCTCCCCGGGCAGCAGCAGGCGCACGGCCGTCTGGAT